TTCTTTCTTTCTTTCTTTCTTTCTTTCTTTCTTTCTTTCTTTCTTTCCTGTGGTTTGTCTGACTAGTTAAGTAAAGGCCAATACATAAATAAAATAAATGTTTGGAACATGACAAAGTAGGTAAGAGAAATCATCTGCCAAGCAGTTTTCTCAACCATTAGTTCTTCTAAGTGAACTTTCCACAATCCATGCTCACCAAAAAAGTTGGAAGTGAACTTATAACAGTCTGGCTGTTAACCATGTGGAAACTGTAGTCACAAATCTCCAGCCAGTAATCAATATTAGCATTTCTGAAGGGCACCACATTGGAAAAGGCTAGTCTTGGGTAATTCAAGGGGCTAGTTTAGGCATTTCCATTTTGGGACTGTTCACATACAGTAGCTACTCTTGTAAACAAGGTAAATGACTCCAACAATTCAACTACAGTTTGAAACAAAAAACAGGAAAGCTCTCTCTCTATCCACCTGTGGAATTAAAGGCTTTCAAAAAAAAAAAACCCACAACCATCTTACCCATCACAATAAGGAGAATTCCAATGGTCATCTGGAAGAAGAGGGACACGCTGATGAGAACTATCAGAGCCACGTAATAGTGAAAGGAAGGTCCCTGTTCCAGGACTGCTTTCAACTGTGCAGCATTAGCCATAAAGAGGGCCACGTCCAACATGCTCTCCGCCACACTTTTCTTGGTAGCATAATGGTTTATGTTGATTACACTTTCCCCACTGAAGCCAGGGTTAAAGGCCTGAAAGAGAAAAAAAAATCCATTAAGAATCAGGAAGGAAAATGACCTTGCCCTCCTGTTATATAGGTGGATGCACAAAACGTTCTTTAGATGTTAGCCAATAGCACCAAAATGGCAAAGGAGTTCTCCCAAATTGTTTGCTGAGTTCTATTAGCCAAAAAAGAAACCTAGATTGTGGTCAGCAATCAGAATTCCAAAAACACCATAATAGTGCATATATTAAAATCAGGGTCTATTTTCTTTTTTCCAGCCTGACGCCTTCTACATATATATTGGATTAAAAATGCAAAATGCTTTTACATATATGCAAAATGCATTTGCAAATTAAAAATACAAAATGCACCCATTCTTTTTTCTCTGTTCATTTGTTTGCACCTGAACCTATTTATCCGGATAAATGAGAGTGGGAGATTCTTGTAACTGCTGGATGTAATGTTGCTTATAGCAGCCAATCATCCTTGTCCCAGTATGCCTTGGTTCATTGTATAATCTTTGCTGCAGGTGCTATCTGCCAAATTTTTGACAGACCTGGATAGAAAATAGCAATAGCACCTAGACTTACAGTATATACTGCTTCATAATGCTTTACAGCCCTCTCTGAGTGGTTTACAGACTCTGCATATTGCTCCCAACAATCTGGGTCCTCATTTTACCCATCTCAGAAAGATGGAAGTCTGAGTCAACCTTAAGCTGGTCAGGATCGAACTCCTGGCAGTGAGCAGAGTTTGCCTGCAATACTGCATTCTAACCACTGTGCCACCACGGCTCTTGTGGTATTTCTTATGCCTTTATTTGACACACATATCTTCCCTCGGTATGTCATATATTTTTCTCCCGTCACCTTCCAGAATGATTTTTTTTGGCTTCCCAACCTATCTTAAGCACACCTAAATATGTGATTCTACTGAGGAAGTTTTCACAAGGAAACAAAGCTACCTTAAGAATGAAGTTTGGAGGAACAGAACCATTCAGAATAAGAAAGGTCAAAAATGCACATTGACCTCATATCTGTTTAACTTGTACAGTTAATTACATTATACATTACAAGTTGCAGTATCAGAAGAAATAGCAGCTGACATAAAAACTAGACATGAAACAGCAAATTAGGGACATGGATAAAATAGTATTAACAATAGTCAATCCTATGCAACTGGAAACTATCAAAAACCACTGCTCTGCCCTCTTACCTTTTGGATATCTTCATTCCAAGGCATTGCCATGTATTCTTACTAGCCAGAGTAAATATTCTACTTACTGCACTTATGCAAGATTTTCAGATGCCTTCTCTTCAAAAGGTCCTTTTCTCTCAAGATCTGTCAAGTCAGTGCCACATGTTTTATGATATTGCTCTTTTTATAAGAATTCCTAATATTGACATCTTTTTTTAGTAAATTCCCAGGCGTATCTGATTCATTTTATTTTTATGCCATTTTCTTTTTATCAGATTCAAAGCCACATTTACTTACAAGATATGTAAATTTGTACACATCTTGTAAATAAAGTAATGGTGTCAGGTCATGCAGTTTAAAGATTAATCAATAGATTAATCTCAACATGGAGAAGTGAATACTTTGACATATGAAAATATATCAGGCTCAAAAGAGCTCATTAGAAAAGCAAAAAAAAAATGGAAAAAGAAAAGAGTTAAATATTTTTAAAAAGACAAAGGTAATGTCAATCTGTGCACTTAATAAATGCAAAACTGATGAGTTTATTGAGTTCAAGAATGGATAAAAATGGACAGCATGCTGGATAAGTCAAGAGATGCATCCTGAGGAGGTAGGAAATTATAAACTTAGATAAAGAAGAGTCTAAACTTTAGAGTCTCTTTGTGAATGACATGGAACATTTTATATATAAAGTAAATAAATAAAGAAGACCATCAAGGATCAGACTGCCAACAAGATAGGAATACTTAAAGCAAGACATCCTTAGTGGAAATGAATGGCTGTGAAAGCAAGACACTGAGAAAGAACAGAAGAAAGAAAATAAATAGTTGTGAATTATGGATTTGGAAATGGGTTTCTAAGAATATCATGAACTGCTGGTCAGTCCTTGAACAAACAAAGTCTGACTGCTCTTGAGCCAGTGATCAGCAAACATACATACATTTGGGCATGTGGTGCAAACAGGTGATGAACTAAAAAAAAAAAAAGGACTCTGCTTGTAACAGTGACGGAAATACAATAAGGTGAAGATAACAGACAAGGGGGATGAATGAGACCAAGAATATCACTAGAACATTCCTGGAAGAACTGTAGAATATAAGTAGAGTCTTGTTGAATTAGAAAGGATTTGTCCATACAGGATAGTCACGGAATCACAGCCACCTCAGAGAGGCTAAGTTAAGCTCTCTCTCTCTGTGACCTGCTACCAGATAACAGATAATCAGAGTTGGAAGGGACCTTGTAGGTCATCTAGTCCAACCCCACACCCAAGTGGGAGACCCTACACCATTTCTGACAGGTGGGAGTCCAATCTCTTCTTGAAAGTCTCAAGTGATGGTGCTCCCACAACTTCCGAGGGCAAGCTGTTCCATTGGTTGATTGTTCTCACTGTCAGAAAGTTTCTCCTTGTTTTCAGGTTAAATCTCTCCTTGTTCAGTTTCCATCCATTCCTTGTCTGGCTTACAGGCGCTTTAGAAAATAGATTGACCCCTTCCTCCCTGTGGCAGCCCCTCAAATATTGGAAGACTGCTATCATGTCTCCCCATGTCCTTCTCTTCACTAGACTAGCTAAGCCCAGTTCCTGTAACCGTTCTTCATATGCTTTAGTCTCCAGTCCCCTAATCATCCTGGTTGTTCTTCTCTGTACTTTTTCTAGAGTCTCAACATCTTTTTTATAATGTGGTGACCAAAACTGGATGCAGTACTCTAGGTGTGGTCTTACTAAGGCTTTATAGAGTGGTATTAGTACTTCCCTTGATCTCGATTGTATCCCTCTGTTAATGCAATTTAGGATTGCATTAGCTTCTTTGGCTGCCGCTGCACACTGCTGGCTCATATTTAGTTGGTTGTCCACTAAGGCTCCAAGACCCTTCTCACCAATTGGAGGCAGCCATGGACTTACTTTGCTAGCCAACCATGTTAGTTTATGATGGCAAAACATCAGAAGAAGTCTAGCGACACCTTTTCCAACTAACCAACTGTATTAAAAGGCATATATTTTCATGAGCTGCAGTTCAATAGATGCGTGTATAAGGTAGTCTTTGACTTATGACCGTAGGGGAGCCTGCCCATCATGATCATAAGTCACGACAGTCATAAAACTGAACAGTGTCACAGGCAATAGATACATTTAATAAATAAATAAATAAAATGGGTTGATCACATGACCAATCTGATTTGTACAACCCTCCTTGTGACGGTCATTAAGGGAATCACTGCATTAAATTAAGACAATGGTTTGTTATAGGTGCAATTTTGCCAAAAATTAGAAACACCAGTTTGAGACAAAAGTGTAAAATTGATTAGCCCTTGGGCCATATCAAAGTGCAGAGTTCCAGAGACAAATTATTACTGAAATTTGATAAAGCAATTTAATATGCAGTTAGATGAAATACAATTGAAAATGAAATCGGAATAAATTATGATTTAAAATGAAAGTGGAGTAAAATGCAATCTAAGATGAAAATGGAATAAAATACAATAATTAGATTATTAGCCCCATCTCTTTAGATGTTACATTGTGGGAAAAAAGATCCTTACAATTCCTAATGAACTCTTTTTTTTTTTTTGTCATTGCCTCTTTCTTAGAGCTGAGAGAAAATGACGGGCCCAGGCTTTGTGCCTATGGTGGGACTAGAACTCACAGTTTCAATTATCATTACAACTTTGTATTGTCCTCTGTGCACTTCAGATTTCTCATCAGGCATAATAAAGAACAACACCATCTTACTTCACTATAAGTCTAATTAATACTTTTGGGGTTTTTTAAAAACATACTTGTTGTTCATTTCTGTCCATCAAAGCCCCTTTTATACTCTACAGATAAAAAAAGACAATTGAAAACGCTAAAGGCAGGGCAGATTGAAAGTGACGGCATCATGCCATTCTGCTTCTTTGAACATCCTATTGTTCTTATATTTCATGACTAGTTGAGCACAGACAGTCTCTGTGGTCACCTGGCCACCAACATCTCATTGTGAAGAAGGACCTTCCAGGGCCAAATACAGATGGATCCGATGCATTGCCTGAAACTGCCTTTAAGAACATAAGAAGGTAGGACGCATGGCATCCTGTGCCAGTTTTCCCGACTGTTTATTATCCACGCCAGTGATTTTAAAAAGTCCATGGCCCAGTTGATTGTAATTCTTTTCAGTGTAACACACCAAGTAGCCATGCCATGCTTATGTCCATGATTTGTAAATGTAAATGTAAATCCATGCCAGGGGTGTCAAACTCAAGGCCCCAGGCTGGATGTGGCACATGGTGTGCTTAAATCTGGCCCATGGGAATAGTAAAGGAAATAGTAAAGGACCACACCAGGGGTGGGATTCTACCAGTTCGCACCTATTCACTAGAACCGGTTGTTAACATTCTAAGCAGTTTGGAGAACTGGTTGTTAGAAGAAATTACTGGCCTAATCCTGTAAGGAAGGCAGGAAGGAAACATTCTGGTGTTGCTTACAGAAACTGCCTCTCCGTTAACCCTTATTACATTCTTGGCAGGACTGGATTTCCTGTGTCAGGAACTTCTCTGGAGTTTTTCCCCCCTCCTCTGCTGGTACTTTGCTTGTGTGGAATGACCATTCAAAGTTACAATGGCACTGAAAAACATGTCTTATGACCATTTTTTACACTTACGACTGTTGCAGCATCCCCACAGTCATGAGAGGCCAGGCGAGGAGATGCGTGCCTCAATGTGAGTGACATTGAGTTGGCCACGCCCAGCCAGTCACATGACCACCAAGCCATGCCCACCAACTAAGCCACGGCCACAGAACCGGTTGTTAAAAAATTTGAATCCCACCCCTGGACCAGGCCATGGAAATAGTAAAGG